TGACTGCTTTCCTTCCCTTCTTAGCCTCCTCCGAGCTACGTGACTGCTTCCTTCCACTTCTAGCCTCCTGCGAGCTACGTGACTGCTTCCTTCCACTTCTAGCCTAATACGAGCTACATGACTGCTTCCTTCCACTTCTAGCCTCCTTCAAGCTACGTGACTGCTTCCATTCCACTTCTAGCCTCCTGCGAGCTACGTGACTGCTTCCTCCCACTTCTTGCCTCCTGCGAGCTACGTGACTGCTTCCTTCCACTTCTAGCCTCCTACAAGCTACGTGACTGCTTCCTTCCACTTTTAGCCTCCTGCGAGCTACGTGACTGTTTCCTTCCACTTCTAGCCTACTGCGAGCTACGTGACTGCTTCCTTCAACTTCTAGCCTCCTACAAGCTTCGTGACTGCTTCCTTTCACTTCTAGCCTCCTGCGAGCTACGTGACAGCTTCCTTCCACTTCTAGCCTCCTACAAGCTACGTGACTGCTTCCTTCCACTTCTAGCCTCCTGCGAGCTACGTGACTGCTTCCTTCCACTTCTAGCCTCCTGCGAGCTACGTGACTGCTTCCTTCCACTTCTAGCCTAATACGAGCTACATGACTGCTTCCTTCCACTTCTAGCCTCCTTCAAGCTACGTGACTGCTTCATTCCACTTCTAGCCTCCTGCGAGCTACGTGACTGCTTCCTCCCACTTCTTGCCTCCTGCGAGCTACGTGACTGCTTTCTTCCACTTCTAGCCTCCTACAAGCTACGTGACTGCTTCCTTCCACTTGTAGCCTCCTGCGAGCTACATGACTGCTTTCTTCCACTTCTGCCTAATACGAGCTACATGACTGCTTTCTTCCACTTCTAGCCTAATACGAGCTACATGACTGCTTTCTTCCACTTCCGCTGAAAAAAAAAATGACAGACCTCCGTTCAACCTGCTGTAAGATAGCCACAACTGCTAACAGTCTCCGGTTATATTGGTGGTCTGGTTTATTAGCGCGGCTTTCGTGGCTAAAGCTCTGGTATTTGTGCCGTTGCTGGGCTTAGTCCTTTCCCCCTTCATATCAGATCGCTCAATGCGTGTCCTGTTATCAGCTGTGTTCTTCCTGTTCTTTCATTTCTGATGTTTTGCTTTTGGTTCAGGCTCCAGCTAATTTGGCCAGGCGTATCTCGTAGGTAGTAGTAGTAATTTTTCCCTACTAGGACTTCACACAAGCGATAAACACCCGATGACACAAAATTCCACCTGGTGGATGTGGATCACCCTTGGAGAGGCCCCAGAAGCCGCGTTCAGCCACTAGACCATATTTATCCCCTGGCTTTAAAACAACGAAACATTGCACCCCACAAGTGAGTGACTAAGTATAAACACAATCTCTCAGGAGAGCGAGCTTCTCTACATAAAGTCCTATTGGACCACCATTTATAGTTTTAAAATGTTGAATATTTTACTTTGTACGTGACTGCTTTTTTGGGTCAAATTTCACTTTTGTGCTGTTGCAGTGCGTTGTTGTGATTGGTTGGATCCTTGCTGCTGTAGTCGGATTGGCTGTAGTGTTTGGTGTCCATGGTGATTTCAGCGGGGAAAATCCTAGCAGTTTATTGGTGGCTTCTATATATAACGGAACATACCGGACCGTATTTGGGGCCTGTATTTGCTGGATCATTGTCGCCTGCACGTCTGGATATGGAGGTAGGGCCAGCGAGAGACTTATAAATTGTTGCGCTTGTAAAGTGCAGTATGCCTAAACAAACAATGAGGTGTAAATCAATAAAGTTAAGGCCTATTTTCCACGCGTTTAGGTAACTTGGGCATATAGGGCTAGATCTATATTGTAAAAACCAATCGGCGCTCTCTGTGTGATGATCCAACTTTACTTCCCAGTATTTTACCTGGTATCCATTAGAGGCTGGGTCGACTTGGGAGCCAAAATCGTTTTTGAAAAAATTAAAGCTCGGCTCCATCAGGACATGAACCCTCGACATTTGGATCGACAGGCGAGCCTATAGTCGCTACACCACATCGGCCCCCCGCTTAAACCAGTGAAGAGCAAAAAAAAAAAAACCGTCAACCAGGCACACGATAGACAGTCCCTGGCAACCCCTATATACTCAATCATGTTTTCTCCCAGTCTAGCAAGTGTTATATCTAAAGTCTAGTAAGTGTTGGATCTAAAGTCTGGTCTAGCAAGTGTTATATCTAAAGTCTAGTCTAGTAAGTGTTGGATCTAAAGTCCAGTCTAGCTAGTGTTATATCTAAAGTCTAGTCTAGCAAGTGTTGGATCTAAAGTCTGGTCTAGTTAGTGTTATATCTAAAGTCTAGTCTAGCAAGTGTTATATCTAAAGTCTAGTCTAGCAAGTGTTGGATCTAAAGTCTGGTCTAGCTAGTGTTATATCTAACGTCTAGTCTAGCAAGTGTTATATCTAAAGTCTAGTCTAGGAAGTGTTATATCTAAAGTCTAGTCTAGCAAGTGTTATATCTAAAGTCTAGTCTAGCAAGTGTTGGATCTAAAGTCTGGTCTAGCTAGTGTTATATCTAAAGTCTAGTCTAGCAAGTGTTATATCTAAAGTCTAGTCTAGCAAGTGTTGGATCTAAAGACAAAAGTAATAGGTGAGGACAGAGCATGCATGGGAATGATCCTGAATGCTGCGATGTCACTTCTTGACTCAACTGAACTCATCATAATCATCATCATCCTCATCATCATCAATGTAATCGTCATCATCATCGCCACCATCCTGTTGTGCCGTTAACGCATCAAATAGGCCTCTCATTAGATTCCTCCATTTAGTGTTAATCTGTGCAATCCTTTCGATACTGTATAAGAAATCCAGTATGCTAACTTCTCATTTGTCTCGTTAAAGTTTCTTTAGAGTTTCTTTTGTGCATCCTCGCCTAACTAATACATTTTCTCTTCACATTTCAGTGCCTGTTTTGTAATTCTTTGTCAGCTTTGCCACGTAATGTTTTTAGTACATTCTTACAAATATTCAAATGAACTGTTCACTAACTGATTTTGCGTCAAGTTCTTATTTAAAACGTCATTTCTTGTTATGTCTTCTTTTTTTTTCTTCCTCGTTAATCCGATGGCGTAGTTGCGGTGTGCTGGTTTTTAGTATGGCGGCGTAATTTATACCTTTCGGCCGACGCATCCTACAATTTCGGGCATTTATTGCCTGAACTAGCTTTTCGGGAATTCCTGTAGCGTATTTTAATCGTTTCCTTCACCAACCATTGGTACGTTTAAAAATATGTACGTTTTGAGAATGAAGCGTCTGACCGTCGATGTCCGAACGTCGATTTCCGAACGTCGATGTCCGACCGTCGATGTTCGATCGTCGATGTCCGTATTCGTCTCATTGCTATATAATTGTAAACAATCTGCACACAAAAGCAATTAGTTATTAAACAGTAAATCAACAGTTACATTATTTTACTGAATGTGCTGTTTTCCAGGACCAGTTGATGCTTTCCTGTCCTGGTCGCCATTTGCAATCCTGGGCCGCTTGACCTACACTGGCTACCTGGTGCAAATGTCCGTGCTGGCAATCATACTGGAAAACCTGGAGCAGCCGCTTTATCTGAACATGTTTTCTTGTGTAGGTGATCGAAAACGATTTTTTTTAGCCGCTCTTAGTACTGGATATTAGGTAATAGTACATTTTAAAACTGCGACTTTACAAAGTTACTGACGGCCAAACACACACACGCATGCGCGCACGCACACACACACGTATGCGCGCGCCCTCTTACACCCACACACACACGCATGCGCGCGCCTTCTTACACCCACACACTCATGTGCGCGTACGCACACACGCATGCGCGCACACACACACACTCATGCGCGCACACACACACATATATTTTTGATTTAATTGCCCAGCTTCGCCTGGATTTGTGAAAAAAGCTTCATTCCGCTCCCGTCCTCTGTCTCATGTTGGTCTTTACTGCTGCCTCGTCTGTAGTAGAAACACCGGAGAAGCGAGCATAACAGGAGCCTTTCGTCTTTAAGTTTCTCTAGTACGCCCTCGTTTCCTACACCCGTCAATGTCCCATTTTAATGCATGTAATAAAGTTCTCTGCTCTTAGTATTGTCATACATTTCTGTAGATTTTTGTTTAAAGCAGGGTGTGGAAGCTGACCCCTGGTTCACGGTCCGAGGCGTAGTGGTAGGAGCCTCCTAGACTAGTTCTATGGGTCAGGGGCGGCGGACTTATTTGGCCAACGTCTTAAAGTGCGCAATAAGTATTAGTACTGTTTTTACATACTGAGTAAAAAATGACCTGTGGACCGAGAACATGACCTGTGCGTTTAGATCAGTTTAACAGATGTGTGCAGACATGTATGCCTGCTAGATCTAAGTTTCACGTGAGATAGGAACGAAATGTAATTTTTAAAAATAATGTGAAGGACGTAAGAGAAATACATAATCAAAGAACTTTACTTTTACTGACTGTTACAGTAATTAACAGAAATGCACATAAACTCGGCCGCCAATGTGACTGTTAATATTAAAGATTGTAGCTATAATGGCAGTTGAAAATCTAACCCGTGTAGTAGTCACGGCTTGGGATGATTAACGGTTAAATAAAAATGTACACACAAAGTACAGGAAGGCGTTTATGCTTTATTGTATTTGGGTAAAACACACATACACACACACACACACACACACACACACACACACACACATATATATACACAGTTTAACTCCTTGCCAATATAGGATGCAGAATTGTTATTATGTTAAAGCCTCCATCCGGCTGTTATCGTGAGCCCTTGTACAAACTAAGGGTTGAAAAGGGTTTCTGGGACTTGTGCCAGAGGATTACCATCTGAATGGTAGCACTTTGTGTCACCGGGTGTTTATCGTTGATTGATGATCGGTCATGGGGTTAAAGGTCGCTTGTATGTAGACACCATTATACATAGTTGAACTGTCACATCATGTTAGATGAATGGATTGAATAATGGATAAATGGCTAGACAACCATAACATGCAGACAGGCATGTATGTGATAAGTAGAATGGTAATTATGAAGGTAGATACTTTTTAGGCAGGTGGAGTGATAGGTGGGTAGTCAGTCAGGTATACAGAGAAGGTAGACGTACAAGTATACACCTGGGTAGATTGCTAGCCATGTAGCAAAACCACTGGTAACAGTGTCGTATTTAATGATTGTAAGTAGTTCATTGAATTCGAAAATTATCCGGAGAAATGTTAGTCAATTTTAAAGTGAAAAATACTACACAAAAATTAATGGGAGTAATACAGATAAAATACTGATATTTAATTATATGAAACAGTCTAGGAGAGAGAGAGAGAGAGAGAGAGAGAGAGAGAGAGAGAGAGAGAGAGAGAGAGAGAGAGAGATAGAGAGAGATAGAGATAGAGATAGAGAGAGAGATAGATAGAGAGATAGAGAGAGAGAGACAGAGATAGAGAGAGAGAGAGAGATAGATAGAGAGAGGAGAGAGAGAGGGAGAGAGAGATATAGAGAGATAGAGAGATAGATAGAGAGAGATAGAGAGATAGAGAGAGATAGAGAGAGAGAGAGATAGAGAGAGAGAGAGAGAGAGAGAGAGAGAGAGAGGAGAGAGAGGGAGAAGTCTAGATGGTACCTCAGCAGAAAATCGATAGAGATACGACAATAAAGTTACTTCACAAATTTCTGAGGAGTCTAAGAAAATACTCATATTTTCTGAGACTATCGAAAGGATAGCTGGAAAAGGTGCCAGATGAAAGAGACTTTCAGCGTTGTGGAAAATTACCAGACTAAAGTTACTGTAGTGGAGCTACTGTTGTGGAGTGGCTAGCACACTTTTCTGTCTATTCAAAGGTCATGTGCTCGAGTCCCTAAAGAATTTAATGTTTGTATATATGTCAGTATTAGCTACAACAATATTTTAAATATTCTGACATTTCCTTTTTATTTATCTTTCACCCCAGATTGTGTATGGGACGGTCGGTGTTGTGTTTACTTGCGTTCTTGCCGCCATTTTGGCCATATGTGTGGAGATGCCGACGCAAAGTCTGGAGAAAGTTGTAGATTACAGAAGAAAAGTGTAAATCTGAGCGCAGACAATGTGTTTACTACCAAGCGTTGTTGTCTATTATAAGATGAGTTTTCATAGTTTTAGTACATGATGTTTCTTTTTATGTTTTGTTGTTGTTGTTGTAGGCGTAAAAATATACTCAAATCAGTATTGCTTTTTGGAGCCAAAGTTTTGAGGATGACTTAAAAAATTACTAATAAACTACAAATTCTTAAACTTGTTAAACTTCACGCTTGGAAATGTTAAAGTTTTATATATATATATTTAAACACACATACACACGCACGCACGCACACTCACACAAAACCTTCATTGTTATATGCATGTAAAACATGAACAGTAAACATACTAGCCAAGTATCACCCAAAGGTGGCTGAGAGGTTGTTTTCAAAGAAGAATGTAAAGAATATCATGTAATTTTAGGGGGTGGGGGGGGGGGGGGGGGAACGAAAAAATGAAGGGAAAAAAACAGATCAGACATTCCTCTTAGAGACAAGTGACCACTGTAAACTGACTGGTGAAATAAAACATGGGGAGTCAATATCTGTGGACATGTAATGAGAAGGAAATTACTCTTAAAATTATGGCATGAAAATTATTGCATTGAAGAGCAGGATATAGCTACGACAATTCAATCAATGCATACCAACCTCCAGATAATGAGGGGGGGGGGGGGTATGGGGGTGGAAACCTATAACTACTTCGGCTCTTATATATCTAACGATAGCAGCTGTAGCAAAGAAATCAGGACAAGACTCGATATGGCAACATCCGCGATTTTCCAGCAGTAAACGCCAAAGTTTACAGACCACTGGTAATACATACCTTCTTATGCGGATTTGATCTGATTTTATGTAGCAGCAAGTGCTACGGATGTGGAAATCCAACAGTGATTTACATCATTTCTCGCCCAGGTGATCTGATTATCCATACAGATGGTTGGGTGTTGAGAGGCAAGAGAAGTGCCTGGGGGTTCGTAGCGAAAGCCAATGGAAATTATTCAGTGCAAGACAGCCTAGCATATGACAGCACAACATCTAGCATGAGAATGGAGGAGGAGGCGGTAACTGCAGCTCTCCGATGGCTAGAGAACAAGAGTATACCATGTCGTAATTGTAACAGACTATGAAAGAATGCTGAAAAAGGTGAAGACAGGGATGCTTTGAGCAGAGTGGCAAGCTTCACTGGAAAGGTCACGGGTAGTGAGCATAATTTGGATCTTTTCTCCAGGCTATGCCAGCGTAGTGGGTAATTAACAGGCAGTCAGATTGGCTAGATCTGCACCACTGCGTGGTGAATTGATATATGACAAGGCAGATGTGGTCAAGGCCCTCTGGGAACAAACAACGGAATCAGTAGAGAAAGATTATTATTATGGCCTGGGGAGAATGAGGCACCTGAGTGTAACCAGAGGGTCTGGCCGACTAACCACACTCAGAGGAAAGGCAAGACGGACATATAACAAGATTGTGACAGATACCATCAGTACTGGAACTCTGCGCTGGCTGCTGAACATGAGGACGGAGCACGCATGGTAATGCCCCGAGTGCTGTGATGTCAATTCTTGACTCAACTCAACTTAAGCGGATGTGAGAGTTGGACTCTGTGACAATGAAAAGGAAGATACAGGCTTTGGAAGAAAAATGCTAAATGAGTTTTAAGAATTACTTATTTGAAACAGAACTAAGAAATATGTAAGAGACAAAGTAAAAAAAAAAAAAAAATGTGCAGGACATAAAGAGCCTCTTCTTGCAGTGGCGAAAAAGCTAGTTTATTTCGGACAAGTGGCGAGACATGATTTGACTGCAAATCTACTTAAAGAACTTTGGAGACAGGGCGTATATCAAAGAAGATCTGGAATGACAACATAAATTGACAGGTCTAAATTACTATACACTTGTTATGCCCGGCTCTCTAGCGTAGTTGGCTAAACCGGATTGCGTGGTGACTAGGTGACGAACTCCTTGTGGTCCGGGTTCACTCCTGGGGGTAGGCAGAAAGGCCACATTTCTCCCAGGTTTACGGTATTTATAATGGAATCAAGGCAGAAAGGTTGCGATATCCATAATACCAAGCCTAAGGGTTAACAACTCATGGCTTCTGGATACTAAAACAAACAAACCAACAAACTATACACTTGTTCATCAGAGGAAGGCAGAGAAAGATGGTGGGTATTGTGTATTAGTGCTTTTATCGATACACGTCCTTGAACCTAACGGGTCAAGGTTTATGTTATGTTATAGAGATGGCCTACGTGATGTTGTCCATATTCACCCACCAAGTGCCAACTGGATCTATACAAATATAGATCTAGCCCTACATGCCCAGTTCGCCAGAAGACGTGAAAAGTGGACCTTTACTTTGTTATGTCCTTTTAGGTGAAGCAGCAGATGTGATGATGGCAGCATATTGACAACATCACACAACAAGTGTGACTGGATCTATACAAATATAGATCTAGCAGTACAATGATGACAACATCACACATCAAGTGTGACTGGATCTATACAAATATAGATCTAGCAGTGCAATGATGACAACATCATAAATCAAGTGTGACTGGTTCTATACAAATATAGATTCAGCAGTACAATGATGACAACATCACATATCAAGTGTGACTGGTTCTATACAAATATAGATCTAGCAGTACAATGATGACAACATCACACATCAAGTGTGACTGGATCTATACAAATATAGATCTAGCAGTACAATGATGACAACATCACACATCAAGTGTGACTGGATCTATACAAATATAGTTCTAGCAGTACAATGATGACAACATCACACATCAAGTGTGACTGGATCTATACAAATATAGATCTAGCAGTACAATGATGACAACATCACACATCAAGTGTGACTGGATCTATACAAATATAGTTCTAGCAGTACAATGATGACAACATCACACATCAAGTGTGACTGGATCTATACAAATATAGATCTAGCAGTGCAATGATGACAACATCATAAATCAAGTGTGACTTGTTCTATACAAATATAGATCCAGCAGTACAATGATGACAACATCATAAATCAAGTGTGACTGGTTCTATACAAATATAGATCTAGCAGTACAATGATGACAACACCATAAATCAAGTGTGACTGGTTCTATACAAATATAGATCTAGCAGTACAATGATGACAACATCACACATCAAGTGTGACTGGATCTATACAAATATAGATCTAGCAGTACAATGATGACACATCACACATCAAGTGTGACTGGATCTATACAAATATAGTTCTAGCAGTACAATGATGACAACATCACACATCAAGTGTGACTGGATCTATACAAATATAGATCTAGCAGTGCAATGATGACAACATCATAAATCAAGTGTGACTTGTTCTATACAAATATAGATCCAGCAGTACAATGATGACAACATCATAAATCAAGTGTGACTGGTTCTATACAAATATAGATCTAGCAGTACAACGATGACAACACCATAAATCAAGTGTGACTGGTTCTATACAAATATAGATCTAGCAGTACAATGATGACAACATCACACATCAAGTGTGACTGGATCTATACAAATATAGATCTAGCAGTACAATGATGACAACATCACACATCAAGTGTGACTGGATCTATACAAATATAGTTCTAGCAGTACAATGATGACAACATCACACATCAAGTGTGACTGGATCTATACAAATATAGATCTAGCAGTGCAATGATGACAACATCATAAATCAAGTGTGACTGGTTCTATAAAAATATAGATCCAGCAGTACAGTGATGACAACATCATAAATCAAGTGTGACTGGTTCTATACAAATATAGATCTAGCAGTACAATGATGACAACACCATAAATCAAGTGTGACTGGTTCTATACAAATATAGATCTAGCAGTACAATGATGACAACATCACACATCAAGTGTGACTGGATCTATACAAATATAGGTCTAGCAGTACAATGATGACAACATCACACATCAAGTGTGACTGGATCTATACAAATATAGGTCTAGCAGTACAATGATGACAACATCACACATCAAGTGTGACTGGATCTATACAAATATAGATCTAGCAGTACAATTTCGATATGCCAAAGGTGTGCAACAAACCCCTCCCCTCCCCACTCCCGAGCTGAACTACAGGTTACATCTATCCGCTGTATGGTGCCTCAAATGTTGTCTGGTTGAGCGGGGTTTCCAGGATTTGTAGCTGTTTATTCTCATCCTTGAAATGTAGAACCTAGTTATTTAGATTAGTTAGTCAGTCAACAGATTATTCTCATTGCATATCAAATCATTCAGTCTTTAAGTGCTCGGATCCCCCTCTCAGTAAGTCCCGCTTCTTGTAGCGGTTGACGACACCAGTTCTGTGTTAGTTTGTTCTCTTTTTTGGCTTCCTCCATAATGCTCTTGTCTGCCCACACTGCTTTTAACTCGTTCTTGCAGTTTGGTCATGGTTGCAGATTCACAGTCTTCGTTTGGTTCTCCCAAACGTCTCCCTTCTCGTAGTGCATTCAGAATATCAGCCTGGCCCATGGCTTGTCAGCACATTCGGTAGTTATACTTGCCAACCTATCAGCTTGCTCATTTAATTGAACGCCTGGGTGTCCAGGCACGAATATGAAACTGGTACGTGCCAGCCTCGACCGCTGCAGAGACTCCAATCAATGTCTTCAGACCCAGCCGGTAGAACCCATAAATGATAGTAAAACTAAAAATGAAAAAAAAAAAAAAAAAAAAATTAAAAAAAGTCTTGTAAAGAATCATTTACTTACTTACTTTTGATGGGCCTGCTTTAGATGAAATTGCACTAATTTGTAAACATGATAGTCTGCAAGACTTTTTCTTTCTTTCCAAAACTGACGCCATGAGAGCATTTCTCAATTAGCCTTCACCTTGTACTATACAATACAGTTCGTTTGTGAGGCGGGGGTTTCACTTCAAAATTACCGCCTGAAAAGTGGTTTTGTACTCTGTTGTACTGTTCAGAAATTTTTATCTAGAAATGGGGTTT